GCAAGTCCTGTCTCGGGGTTATTGCAGGGAAGTAGACATAACAGCAGAGAAGGCAGATAGCTAGTGCTTTAAGGTGTATTATAAATACGAAAGATGTGTTTTTTATCTGGAACTTAACGACTCATACTCCTAATTGAGATTAAATATTTACTACAACCTATAGTCACTCTACTTTTGGCCAACTTAGCTCTAGTTTCAAGGAAGGGATAACTCTCAATTTTTAAAATCAGTTTTAGGACACAGAGATGGAAGGCTGACTGCTCTGAGAAGGCGATCAGACGCTGACAGCAGAAGATATGCTTAACATGTACAAAGATCTTGATTCAATATGAAGCAACAAAAACGTAAGGCAGGAAATACGTGTCTTGGATTAGAAGATTCAATAGTACAAAGATGTCAGATTTCCTAAAACTAATCTATGGATTTATGTGATCTCAAACAAAATTTCACTAGGTTTGCCAAAAGCTGAAATTCTCAAGTTCATCATTTTAGAAGTCATATGGAACAGTGAGTCACAAACAGCCGAAGGCATAATAAGGAAAATCATGAAAATCATGAGACATGGGGAAAAACAAAGCAAAAACTTGCCCAGTGGTGATACCACATGACTATCATCCACTTTGGAGACTGAGGCAGGAGGATCACAAGTGTTGAGGAAAACCTGGCTTACATAGTGATACTTTGCTTTCAGAAGAGAGAGAGAGAAAGAGAGAGAGAGAGAGAGAGAGAGAGAGAGAGAGAGAGAGAGAGAGAGAGAGAAATGGAAAAAGAAAAGGCACACTAGATGGACTGGTGCCAGCATTCAGGAGGCAAAGATACCATCTCCGTGAGTCTGAATTAGTTAGACTAGTCTACATTGTGAGTTCCTGGCCAGCCAGAACCACACAGCGAGGCCTGTCTCAATAAAATAAAGTGGCACTTTGATTTATAACAAAGACACCATATTTTAGCGGGGGAAATGATGATGCCAGGCCAACCAGATATGCATATGGGGGGAAAATGGCAGATTAATTGCAAAGGGCCGAAGCTCTTGGAGAAAACATCTTTGTGATTTTAGGATTATACAAGTATTTCCTTGAAGCATTATCCATACAAGAATAAAAGATCAAGTGGATTTGAATGGATTTAGGAGATTCTGTTCTTTGCAATAAACTGTTAAAGACGCAGACGCTGCCACTGAGATGGCTCAGTGGACAAAGGTACTTGCTACCAAGTCTGAGGACCTGAATTTGACTGCAGGGCCTACAGGGTAGAAGTAGAGAACCAACACTTGTAAATTGTTTTCTGACCTCCATGTGTACACACTGCACACACACACGCGTAATAAAAATTTATTTTTAAAAATGTGCAGAAGCCACATACATATACCCTAAGAGATGGAGGAATTAAGGAATTGTACCTTTGTATACAGTTTCTTTAATAGTAAGAGAAAACCAATGGAAAGACTCACAGTGGTCATCTTAAGTTCCATACCAGGGATACAGCAATGAAAAACACACAAAAGTTCCCAGACACATCTACCAGATGGATACGAAAGCTGAAAGAGTGCCGAGTGCTGGTAAGGATATGGTATCATGAGACTGACATGGTGTATGGACAGGAGTGTCCATAACTGCTTTGGAATGATGCTTGAGACTATCTGTGTACGGCAAATCCATCTCATTTCTATAATTCAGTATTTTCAGTTCTAAGTATATACTCAACAAAAAAATATGCTTACCAAAACTACACATTGGCTCAGAGGGTAAGAGCACTGACTGCTCTTCCAGAGGTCTGGAGTTCAATTCCCAGCAACCACATGGTGCCTCACAATCATCTCTAATGGGATCTAATGCCCTCTTCTGGTGTGTCTGAAGATAGTGACAGTGTATTCACATATACAAAATAAGTAAGTAAGTAAGTAAATAAATAAAAATAAAAGAAAGGTTCTCAATAACACTACTTACAACAATTTCAAAGCAGAAACTACCCAGTGTATGCCCCTCAGAAGACCTGATTAAAAAAAGCCATATAGTCACATGGAATACTGTATCAAACTAAAATGCATAGGTAATCATATACATGAATGTCACAAAGCTGCAAGGAAAAAGAAAGCTAAACAGAGAAAGAGCATGTGACGCCTGACAGTGTACAGACAGTAAGAGCAGATGAAACTAATCTAGGTTAGTCACTACAGCTCTGAGTCGTGGTTATCCTTGGGGTGGGGACCAGAAACTGACAAACTGCAGGAAGGAGGCAGTGGTGTTAGTGATGTTCTACTTTTATTTGTATACCCATTGATGTGTACACTCTTGGTATGTGTACATTCCTTATGTATATTCTCTTGTGTGTGTGTGACAATGATCAGAAAGTTAGTCAGAAAGCTGGAAAAGTAAATCTCCACATATGATAATGGCAGAGATGAATAATTCTTGCAGAGGCTAACGAGATGTCGAGAGCGTTGACTGCTCTTCCAGAGGACCGGGGTTCAGTCACCAGCACCCATATGTTGGCTCACAACTGTTTGTAACTCTAGTTATAGGGGATGTCACACTTTCTTTTAGTCTCCAAGAGCACCAAGCATGTGGTGCACAGACATCCATGCAGGAAAAATATCCATGCACATAGAATAATAAAACATAAAAGGTATGTACTGCTGGATAGAGGAAAAGCAAACAAAAGGAAAATTAATGTAAATCAGCTTTTAAGAAGCGAGGCTGAAGCTGTAGAATACTTATTACCTATTAAGCGTGGGAAAGCCATGGGTTCAATCCCTAGTACCAAAACTGTAAATAAATAAATACATTTTTAAATGGTTAATAAATCTATAAATGTAAATCTAAGCAATAAAATGTTATTTCTGTGGGACATGATGGGATACACCTATAACCCCAGGTACCTAGGAGGCTAAGATGAGAGAGTTTGAAGTTCAAGACTGGTGTGGAATACATACTAAGACTCTTTCTATCTCCAAAAGAAAAGGGGGTGGCAGGGTGGCAACAAGATTAGTGACAAATTTAGATTTACATAAAAATAGATTCAAAACTCTGTGGTATATCGTTTTAAAAAAACATGCTAAAAAACAAAACAAAAAAAAGCTGGGCGGTGGTGGTGCATGCCTTTAATCCCAGCACTTGGGAGGCAGAGGCAGGTGGATTTCTGAGTTCGAGGCCAGCCTGGACTACAGAGTGAGTTCCAGGACAGCCAGGGCTACACAGAGAAACCCTGTCTCGAAAAACCAAAACCAAAACCAAAACCAAAACCAAAACCATGCTAAAAAACAAAAACCCATGCAAATATAGTCACACATTTGAATAGAAAAAAACTTCCAAGATCATGGTTTTTGTTTGTTTGTTTGTTTTTGCTTTATCTTTTGTAACAAAATGTTTTGTTTTGCCACAGGGTCTCTCATATCTCGCCCTAGCCTCTAACTCACTAAGTAGCTGATAACTTTGACGTTCTTATGATGCGCCTACGACCACCTTTGGAGTGCTGGAATTGTAGGCATGTGCACATCACCCTATTAGGTTTATGTAGTGTTGCCTATTGAACCAGGAGACTTGTGCATTCGAGCCAAGCACTCTACTAATTGAACTACATCCCCAGACCAATAACCCCCCCAAACCAAAAAACACACTTAATATGTCCAGAAACCAAAGAAAGCAGGGTAAAAAATAAAAAAATTAGCCACCTACTTTTTTTTCCTCCTCTTTATCTCCCACATCCAATCTGTAGCCATTCCCTCAATTTCATCTTCGAGATGAATATCCAAGTCAGTATTAATTTTTCTGATTTCCAAAATGTATGCCTTTGTCCTCTGCATTCAACTCCTCATGCCTGGACCCTTCATTAGAGCAAAGCATCATATTCCCCACCTCGATACCGTGGCTATATTAAGTCGTTTCGCGTGGCAACCCTCCATACTCCAGCCTCTAAAACTGCACGCTCAAGATTGTCACCCCACCCCGATCGTTGGCATACATAAAATCCTTCTCCCGGAATACATTTTCTCCCATCTATCATTCTAATTTCATTGAGAGCTGAAGGTCTACCGAGGGTAAATCTTTCTGGGTGTAGCTTTTTAAAGTGGTAAGAACGGACAACGGGTTGCAAATTAAGCTTCCTTTGGGCAGTTGTGAGCTAGCTCAACACTTCACATTCTGTACCGCACCTCACTCCCCCATTGTACACCACGGGGGATTTCTTTTCTTTCTCTTGTGTGAATTTCCTAAAATCTAGTTGGCTGAGGGAAACTAAGGCATACATATTCAATACATACACATACACATTCCAGGGTGTGGGTATTGACTTGTCTGATGGGGAAAAAATGGCATTAAAACCACCAGACTTTATTTTTAAATTCAAGATGGCAGAGACATCTTAAAATAGTCCAACACAAAAGCATTTACATCCAGACCAGAGCTTCCATTCAGAACTGGCTACACTTAGCGCAATAGCAAGGACAAAAGAATGGAACCTAGGTGCTGAGAAGCCAGAGCTCTCACCATTGACCACAGGTCTCACTTACAGACCTTAAACCCCACATAGAAAGGCACCTGCTGCCTGCCTGCATTCCAAAGGCCACAGCTTGATTATGATTATAATGATGATGACCAGAGGCACTTCTGGATAACAGACCCGCAAAAATCAAATAAAAAGGGAGTAGGTTAAGTAGTATAGAGTATCCAGCACGTTTCGGCCCCGCCCCAACGAAGCGCAGACCAGGGCGGTGCAGCCATAGGGTAAGGATTGATCAGGGCTCCTGCCCAGGGCTGGTCAATTGCGCCGGGTCTGGGAATTCTGGGCGAGCTAGGGGGCAGAGGCCAGCCACGTCGGGATCCCCTGAGCTATACCTGTCAGGCGGCTGCAGCGAGTAGGCCCCGAAACAGCAGAGAACTGGGGACCCAGGCCCGCAGGCGCCGTCACTCCGTCCCTCCCCTCTGAATCGCTTTGCTTCCTCGCTCTTCCTTTAGTCTTTCTGAAACAAAGACGGTCCACACTCCCCGCCATTTTCTCCTCACCTCAAAAACCACCTCTTCGTCAAACTCCGGTGTCATCCTTCTCCGCCATACCACCCGCCTCAGCACGATGGGAAATGAAGGCAGGAGGGTAGGCAGCACCCAGGCTTCGGCTCCTGCCCACCTCAGGAGCACTGAAAACTACAACTCCCGGCATGCGTCGGTACCCACGCCCCTTTCCGACTTGCTTATTGGAGCAGAGGGAGGGTGGAGGGGCGGGAGCGGGCGGGCGTTTCAGAGCTCCTATTGGAGAGAGCTATGGCTTTTGTCTGCCTTTTACAAGCCTTGACTACCAGGGGGCGCCCGGAGCGCGGATTTTCTCTCAAGTTGAGGAGGGACGCGCGTCCGCGTAGCCGCTGCGAGCTCCTCTCGTGGGCGCGCCTGGCGGTCATCCCGGAGCGCGGCGGAGCGGCGCTCGTACTCGTCCCCCTGGTGCTGGCCGCTAGCGCCCGGGTCCGCCGGAGGGTCGGTGGAGCCAGCGTCCGTCCTTTGTGAGGCGCTCAGACGGTTCGGCTGGGGTGCGGGACGGAATGTGAGCGCTGCGGGGACTTTTGTCTCCTGCTCAAACTCTGGGGAGTGTGGACTGAACGGGAGCCATGGACTGAGGGCGTGAGCTGCGCGGGGCAGTCATGACTTCTGCCGCGGGTGAGTGGCCGCGCTCGCGCCGGGCTGGGGAGTCGCGGCGGGCGCCGGCGGGCTCGGGCTCCCGCTGCTTTCCTCGCGGGTGGCCGGTGCGGGACTGGCGCCGGTCGCCTGCGCCTGTGTGGGGTCCCCGGGATGATCCCCGACTCTTAAGCCCAGGTGATGGGACGGCGTCGCGGAGCTTACTCCCCGGTTCTGTGACTTAGGCGCTGTCGCCTGTGCGCGGTGTGGGAAGCGTGGAGTCCGGTGCGGAGGAGTCAGTTATTCTAAGCTAGGACAGTTTTCCAGCGAGTTGAAGTAACTCCGCCACTAGCGCGCGTTGCTTTAAAAACTAATATTTATTGACTAAAACTCTTCGCGCTAGTAAGGAGGTTTAAACAGAGCTGTTCGCACCCTGGTGTTTTGAGCCCTATTACCTGAGTGCGAACTATTAGATGACAAAACCGAGCAAGCCCCCTCCCCTGCACCTACCCCTCCCTGTTTTTTACTCATCTTCACCTTTTCCTTCCTTCCTTCCTTCCTTCCTTCCTTCCTTCCTTCCTTCCTTCCTTCCTTCCTTCCTTCCTTCTCCCCCCTCCCCCCCATTCGTACCTGACATTGTAAACAAAGCCCTATTTTCAGTCTGTCTCCTTTCTCACCCAAATGACAAAGCCTTTGTGTGAATGTAAGCATTTCGGGTCATTGTGTTGCCACCTTCTTAAGTTTTTTTATCTTCCAAATTTAAATGTCCAAGGGACAGTCTCTTTATAAGAACACAACACATTTTCGAAAGCAGAGTTTAATAAGGTATGGGGTATTTTAAAAGCATCTTTATCCATATCTGAAGAAACTTTGATGAGAAATTTTGTAGTAAAAGAGCTTAAAGTTTCACTTCAGTTAGGGCTAGGATTGGCGCTTAAGTATCAAATTAAATTTTCTTTGCTTTCTTTGGCATTTGTTTAACATTCCTGCAACTTGAAAACTGTCAAAAGAGCACACACACTAAATGTTCTGATTTGTAATTCTAAAACCTTGGAAGAGTCACACTGCTAGGCAAAACCCGGATTGCATCAAACAGGCAAGAAATGCAAGTGGCAGTAAGCACGGGGTTGATGTAGCTCTTTGAAGTTATGTGTATTTATTCACGTGACCATCGTGCACTGAGTTATTTACAAAGGTTTCTCTTAGTTTTGGGATGTGTTCTATTTAAATAATGGACTGTTTTCAGCCAGAATTCCTGTACCCTCACCATCATTCAGCTTTTTAAAATTCCTGAATTAATATAGTTAATTTAAAATAAGAACTTAAAAAATTAATAATTAAAATTTCTAGGATTTAGTCTGGAAGTTTACAATTGTTCTCTTCGAATTAATCTAGAACAAGGCTAGCTATTTTTATACTTATCAACTTTGCAATTAAGGAAATCCACAGCATTTTTGTGGTATTTAAAAGACACTTCCTGTGTCTAGCTGAGTTAGTTCATTTTTTTTTTTTGTAAGAATGGTTTGCTGAGAATCATAAACTGCTTCTTTGCTCACTGATTTGATGAGATTTATTGTAAGTTTTTGTAGTTTTTTTGTAAGTTTTTCTTACATCTAGGGAAGAGGACTGAGGATTTTCTTTCCAGCCCATTTAGATAAAGTTATACGTACATTGTCCTTGCAAGCCGTGGAGGGGGGGAGGGGGTCATAATAATGAAATTTATTAAAGTTTTGGGGAGAGTTACTAATGGAGCAGGTGTTAGTTTTAGCCTGTTCCAGTGTAGTTGGGAAGATGGGCCTAACTTAAGATTAGGGGGCTGTTGTACATTTAAGTGATGTTTGTCCTGAGGAAGAGCTTGCTTCGGTTTTGTTTGTTTTTATACAGCTGGTGAAGAGTGAGTTCATAGAAGAGATTTTTGGATGTATTCTAAGTAGTACATGAATGAAAGAGAGATAACTAAAAGTATCTTCCCATCGTATTGTGCATATACATTTCACTATTTCATTCATGCCTGTGTGGTTTTGTTTTGGGCCTCGTAGACTAGCCAGGAGAGCGAGTGTGCTCGTGAGCCAAGGCCACCTGTGTGTAACAGATGACAAGTCTGTTTATAACAGTAAAACGGCACTTTCTACCTTCGCTTTCCCCTGCAGCCAGACAGCTGTGTAAATAAAAGATTTGCTGCGTTGCTGTAAGGAAGCATTTGGGTCTGATTGTTAATATAATATCAAGATCCAGAGGTGCAGCGTTCATTCCCAAGCATTGTGTACTGATTTCAAGTTTTGAACACTGGAGTGGATCATATTATAATGTCCTACTGGTGGTGTTTTGAGCTACGCTTGAGGGCCAGTGGGATGGCTCAGTGGTTAGTCTTTTCCCATCAAAGCCTGCTGACCTGAGTTTGGTCACTGGGACCCACACGATGAAAGGAGAGAACCAAGTCTTACGTGTTGTCATCTAGCACATGTATGCTATGGAATACATGCTTACCCCCTCCCACACACAAATAACATATAATTTAAAAAATAGTCATGAAGCTGACTTAGCCTTGTACACCTGTGATCCCAGAACTAGAGAGGGTAAGCCAGGAAGACAGCAGTTTGGGGCTATACAGGGCTACATTGCAAAGCCTGTGTCCGAAAACTAAAAATAAAGAAGTAATAGTAAGGAAAGGTTTCCCATATTGCTGTACCAGTGACTTGGCACACACTTGTCCCTATTAGTCATTAAGGAATTACACAAGGATCCTATTGAAGTGCATCCTGCTCCCTTTTCAAAACATCGGATTTTAAAGAGATTTATTTGTAAAATATGTGTGTGTGTGTATGTATGTGTGTGTGTAGTCGGTAAAGGTTTGTGCATGTGTGAGTACAGATGCCAGCAGAGTTCACAAAAGGTTGTTGGATTCCCTAGAACTGGAGTTACAGTCAGGCGTAGCCCTTCCCAACTCTCTCCAACCGCCAATAGGCGCTGGCGACTGAGGTCAGCTCTTCTATAGGAACAGAATGTATTGTACTCTTGACCACCCAGCCGTCTCTTCAGCCTTCAGAACACCGTTTGGTGTTACATTGGATATTGAAGTTAAAAATAAAAGAGCTTTTCTGTCACTGAGACATGAAGTGGTCTATATGCGGCCACTGTCTATTCTCAGGCTCGTGTCTTCAGCTCTGGGGACACAGTAGTGAATCAGAGCACGGATAAGCTTGACTCTGAGTTGTAGTATTGATTCTTCCACTTGAATACACAGGTAACTCACAATAGTAAGTCCAAGGTCACAGTTACTTAATGACTATGCATACATTAAAGGCTTTAGAACGTAGTTCTTAACATGTGGGTCATGGCCCCTTTGGGTTCACATATCTGATATCCTGCATATCAGATATTTACATTACAGTTCATAACAGTAGCAAAATTACAGTTATGAAGTAGCAACGAAATCATTTTATTGCGGGGGGAGGGGTCACCACACCATGAGGAACTGTATTAAAGGGTCACAGCATCAGGAAGGTTGAGGGCCACTGCTTTAGATGCTGCGCTGTGTTATTGGGAGTCAGCACTGGCTCATATGCAGTTACCGTACTTTCTGTGATGTGAGGAGAGAACAGGAATTTGTCTCTTAGACTCAGACTCAAGGGAAAGACCGGAATTGGTACTAGAGATTAATTATGGTTTAGGGAGGGTGAGGCAGTAGGTTTAGGAGGGTGGGATGAAGGGTTAAAATTGGTACTAGAGATTAATAAAATGCTTTTGGGAGGCTGGGCTGCAGGATTGAGAGTTTGAGGTCAGGGTAGGGATACATGGCAAAACAATAGCAACAAAATAAATGGTAATAACATGTTTTCAAGGAAAAGCAAAATGAATTGATTAAAAGACCTTGAACCTTCTGACTAGGCTCCAAGATCAGAAAGTAAAAGATTGATTAGATGAGCTCTTCCTTCCTCCCTCCCTCCCTCCCTCTCTCCCTCCCTCTCTTCTTCCCTCCCTCCCTTCTCTTCTTCCCTCCCTCTCTCCCTTTCTTCATTTGTTTGTTTGCTTTTTAAGACAGTTTCTCTTTGTAGCTTTGGTCATCCTGAAACTTGCTCTGTAGAGTAGGCTGACTTTAAACTCAGAGATCCACCTGCCTCTGCCTCCTGAGTGCTGGGATTAAAGGCATGAGCCATTATTACTGTCTGCTAAAATGGCTCTTTTTAAAAAATAAATCTTAAAAAAATTGATATTAGTGTGTGTGTGTTGTGTGTGTGAGTGTGTGTTTGAGTGTGTGTGTGTTGTATGTGTATGTTTGAGTGTGTGTGTTGTATGTGTGTTTGAGTGTGTGTTGTATGTGTGTGTGTGTGTTGTATGTGTGTGTGAGTGTGTGTTGAGGTACATGAAGATTAGAGAACAGCTTGGTGGAGACAGTTTTCCTCCAACCTTAAAAATGTTCTGGGAATTGAACACAGGTTGCCAGGTTTGTGTAGCAAGTACCTTTATCTAGTGAGCCATTTGGCTGGCTGGAGTTTCTTTTTAATGGTAAAATAGGACATCTTTGCTTCTTTTTGGGAGGGAGGGGGCTGGGGGAGGGACCTTACTGTATAGGCCAGGCTAGCCTCAAAGTCACAACAATCCTCCTGTCTCAGAGTACTGAGCACTGGGTGACAGGCATGCACCAGTAATGCCCAGCCATCTTAATTGATTTTAAGTGTACGTTTCAGAAATGTTAAGAACATTGTAGCAGCCGATCTCCAGTGCTCATTTCATCTTGTAAAAACTAAAATACTTGTATTTTGAATTCTCTGAAAAATCCCAGAGGTGGGACGTTTCAAGAATGACAGAACTGAAATCAGTGTGGCAGTCTGTCCTCAGGCAGTCATGCTTTCCCTGAAGATTTGACTTGATGGATGGGGAATTTAATTTAATATACTATTTCTGTAAGCTTTATCACTAGGCTTCTGCCAAAACCCACAAGAGCCAACCCTCAGGCCAACAACATGTGTATTAGACAGCTAGCTGAAAACTGCCTGCTTTGGGAATTTGTATTATTTTGGAAATTTGCTGCCTTCTTTATGATAACCTTATACCTAGGAATTTTATAAGGCATCTGTTATAAAATCTCTCCTGTGCATATAATACCAGAGTTTGAGAAATTTCTCGTTGGTTAGGAAAAGGAAGTAGAGTACCCTGCTTTTTGTCTCTTTCTACTCAGTTCCGTGTAATATTTTTCCAAGTGTTATGACTAATTTCCCTTGTTGAAAATAAAATCAACACCAAATGAAATATCAAAGCCTTGGTGTGTGTAAGTAAATGAAACGACGTTTTCAAACAGTCCTGTACTTCATGTATTTTGAGATTGTTTTATAAAGAAGTTTTTTTTTTTTAAAGTATTAGACCCTTTTGAAGACGTAAGTATAAGATAATTTAAGAAGTATAAGATAAAATGTGTTTGAACTCAAGTCCCCTCTGGGGAGCAAGTTCTAAAGAAATTTAAGAGAACTATAGTCTCTGTATCATTTTTATATTTATTAGGGTCTTTATATAAAAGACTTAATTTTTGTTTTGTTTGTGTATATGTGTGTCTGTTTGAATATATGTTCAGATGTGAGTTTGGGTGCCTGTGGAGGTCAGAAGAGGGCATCACGTCCCTTTGAGCTGGAGTTACAAGTTGTGAACTTCTTGATGTGGGTGCTGGAACCGAACTCTGCCCCTCGTGGTTGAACTGAAAGCACTCTTAGCCACAGAGGCATCTCTCTAGCTTCCTTATTAGGGTCCTGTTGTCAAGTTCATATAGACTAAGGGTCAGCCTACACAAATACAGCGTTGTATACTAGGCATGTGATGAGGAAGAGTTGCTACACCGGAACTGGTGGTCATCCTTTACTGCTGGGCTAGATGATGCAGGCCGTAATTTCAACACCCAGAACACTAGAGCAGAAGGCTGTGAGGATGAGACCAGCCCTGCTTACGCAATGAGACCCTTGCTCAGAGAAATGAAACCCACAAACACATAGTACATGCTGGTGATGGATAAAAGACGTAATCCATCGCCCATGGGAAATGAAATACAAATGTACGGATTGTATCTTCAGATACTCTCCAATCATTTGATCTTGGGCCAGGCCTGGGCATGTGATAAAATAAAGCTCTATAAAAGAAATACAAAATTCCCAGTTGATCCTGGGATAGAGAAATACCAACCTTATTATGATCCTCAGTTAACAATGAAGAATTTACTTTCCAGTTGTTTTTTTTTTGGGGGGGGGGTAGGTAGAAAATGTCTGATTTCCACAGTGATTTTCCAGAATGTTTTGGGGGTTCTGTCAGAATAGTGTTCTTATTTATGTGAGAAACTTGAGAGTTGCATACTGTAGGCAACTCTTAATACCTAGTGGATGAGCTGAAGATACTATACAGAGTAACTAAGTAAAAGCCAGTGATTTAAGTAATGTCAAAGTTAGAGGAAAATTAGTAATAGGTTAACTAAGAAATGTACAGTATATACAAGCTATGTTACACTAGAACTTAAGAACAATTTCAGGAATTTTCAAGAATAATGTTGACTGTATAAAATATAACCTGTGTAGTAAAATGAAAGGTCATATTGTTTGAAAATGTTATTTAACAAGCATGGTGTTGCATGCCTATAATCTCAGCCTTAGAAAGGCATGTATATGGTTGTGAGTTCAAGACCAGCCTGGGCTGCATTGTAGGTGCCAAGCCAGCACCAGGGTTGCATAGCAAGACCTTGTCACAGAAAACAATAAAAACAGGAAAATTGTATCTTTATTTCCTCTTCTGTTTTGCCTACTTCATCATCTGATTATTAAATTTTTCTTTTCTAGAGCTTAAGAAGCCACCATTGGCTCCCAAGCCAAAGTTAGTGGGGACCAATAATAAGCCACCTCCCCCTCCAATTGCACCTAAACCGGACATCGGAAATGCTAATGTTCCACGGTTAATGAAGAAGACGAAACCGGCAATTGCACCGAAACCGAAAGTCCCGACAAACTCAGTTATTCAAGATATCAAGAATCCACCCTCAAAGAAGCTCACTTTGAACCTGGAGGAACGGGAGCCAGAATTACCTGAGAGCACTGGCAAGTTTAATTGCAAAGATGTCAGGGATCCAGAATTACCTGAGAGCACTGGCAAGTTTAATTGCAAAGATGTCAGGGATCCACACCGTGATTATATTTTACCAACGTGTTCCTGCAGTTCTGGGTGTATTCATGAGCCTAGGACTCAAAAAAATCAGTGTGCAGAGCAGCTGGTTTTAGAGCCTCTGGGAGTGAAAGAAAATTTAGAGAATAATAAAAATGGTGAGTCCTCAAAGACGGGGAGTAGATGGGATTCAAGCAATGAAAAGTGCCGGAGCCAGAGTGGAGTTGTTTTAAAGGCAAGCATCTTAGAAGAGAAGCTCAAAGAGGTTCTAACACAGCAGCGATCACCTTGTGGTTCCCCAAGGAAGCACAGAGCTCCAAAAGACCCAGAAATGAATGGTGACCATAGTTGCACCAGGCAGATCAGAATTGAATTTGCAGAGATGTCGTCTTCCCTGTCCAGCTTGGAAAAAGTTTCCGCTCATCAGAGCTGCTACCCACAACTTCCTAGGGATGAATCTCAGACTCTCGAGACTTGTCAAGATGGCAGTGCTGAGAGCCATGGTCATATTCATTCATGTGAACTGGAGAACAAAAGAGTATGTTCGGGTGGAACTAGTCAGAAGACAGAGGCCAAAGATCTCGGTCCTTTAGAAATCCACTTACTACCATATACCTCAAAGTTTCCAACTCCTAAGCCCAGAAAGACACACACTACTCGTCTGCAGCGCCAGAAGCATGTAGATACTCCTAGTGAAAGCACTGAAGAGCCAGGGATCTCAAACAATGGCTCTTCTTGTCTCCTTGAAGATAGTTTGAAAAACAATAAAGTCAGTGTTCTTCATCAGAATGCTTTGTGTAACCAGGGACAAGTGGACGAGGTGAGGCCAGCAAACAAGAGGGCACTGCCCGGGGATTCCAACAGTGACGGACAGGACTCAGCCAGCTCCCAGAAAGCTGTGCAGCAGGAAACATCTTCTTTTGAAAAAGAGGCACCTTCTTTAGATACGGATTCTAGTTTGACTTCTGACAGCTCCGTAGAGGATGGTTCTGGCCTGTTACCTGCTGTGGACAAAGAGACTACTTTCACACAGTGCAGTCCTCAGCCTTTGAGCTTGCCTAAGCAAGTCAAGTTAGCTTGCACTGAACAGCCACCAACTACCTGTAACACGGAAGTGTCAGTTCCTCAGATACAAAAGGACTCTTCCACGAGAATTGTTCCCAAAAAACCTCAGAGACACAGCTTGCCTGCAGCAGGAGTGCTGAAAAAGGCTGCTTCCGAGGAACTTGTAGAAAAGAGCTCGGCAGTTAGTAAGGAAACAAATTCAGAGAAAGGTCTGCCAAGAAAGCCCCTTCAGCATTCGGGTCCCTCAAACTGTGGCACATCACCAGCATCCTTTGATACGCCCAACCCAACTTCAGAAAAGCCAGTGTGGAAGTTACCTCATCCTATTCTACCTTTTTCAGGGAGCCCAGAGGCCTTGAAACGCGTCACTTTATCCTTAAACAACGAGCCTTCCGTTTCCCTAACCAAGCCAAGAGCGAAGTCACTGTCTGCCGTGGATATGGACCGCTGCAATAAGCCTTGCAAAGAACCTCCAAAGAAAACTTCTTTAAAAAAGTTGATTAATGTGAAACTGTCCATTGGTTTCATAAAGAGTGACTTTCAGAAATTTAGGTCGAAAAGCTGTCAGCATGGGGATGTCTCTGCGGGACATCCGCTCGGTAGAGAGCCGAAAGGGCTTGAAAGTGATTGGCAAGGTTTGGCCTCAGGAGAAGAGAAGAGAAGTAAACCCATGAAGGCATATTCTGCAGAAAACTGCAGCCTGGAATCTCAAAAGATGAAATCTTGGGGCCAGAGGAGTGCAGCTAATGGTCAGAGGGCCGAGTCTTTGGATGACCAGATGATCTCCAGACATGCATCCTGTCAGGGCTCTAGCACAGGCGACTGTGGGCCAGAGTATGAAAATATCCGCCATTATGAGGAGATACCAGAGTATGAGAATTTGCCCTTTGTCATGGCTGGGGGGAACAGTCCAGAGTTGGGATGGCAGAATTGCAGCAGTGTAGAGGACACTGATGCCAGTCTGTATGAAGTAGAAGAGCCGTACGACGTTCCAGATGGCCAGCTGCAGCTTGATCCTAGACATCAGCCTTGCAGGTAATACGTGGGTGTCAGCTAGACCTGCACTTTGGCATGCATCGTTGTAATTAGCCTTCCACAACTCTGTGCTCCAGGACGGCAGTGAGGAAAATCACTTACTGAGGAACCTATTGAGGAAACGTAGATGAAAGCAGTGCTGTGTTCAGATTCCCTTTGTCAGACAATAGGAACAGGTATTTGCATTGCGAGCTTGTCATACTTTAGCAGCCAATTCAAAGAGTTCAAATAGTAGCAAGGTAGCTACTGCAAAGATGGCCTCCCCAAGGTCCGACATGGAAACTTAGGCAGGATGTCGGTTAATTCTGTGAGGTTTGGGAAGTGATGAACTCCATGCGTTTGCATAAGGCGCTATTGTTGTAATACTCTAGGCCTTGCCGCTGTTTGCTGTTTAAGCGTTATTTTGCTTGCTGACCTCATGTGATAACAGGGAAATTCAGGAAACAGTTGTCTTCCTCTTTATGTGTACATTCTGTGTATGGCACCTCGCCTACAGAGCTTTTCCTCATCTTAAGTGGCTCATCAGTCCCTGGCTTCAGGGAGCTTCTGTGGCTACCTAGGAGGAAGCGTTCCCTTCCTGCTCTGAACCTCCTGGTATCCAGTGCTGTCCTTGCATCTTCCAGCTCGGTCTGACTTACGGCATGTTGTTCACTGGTGCTTCTGATGCTCTGTGTTAGTTTGTTTAAAGCATTTATGTATCTTCGATAATCTCATTCATGGACATGATGTGTTTTTGTCATTTTCAACCCCATCACCCTCCTGTATCTCTTTCTCTTCCCACTGACCACTTTCTCCTTCTCTATATTTCACCCCTCCCTATTTTCATGTCCTTTTGGTTTGTGGGGACTTCGTTTTCGTGTGCCCTCCTAAGTTTAGTTACGGTTGCTTGCACGGATGTGAGTGGATGGGGAGTTATTTACTGGAGCATGGATACCTTAATAGTGGCTGCGTGGCGTTCAGTTTTAAGTGTCCTGAAGAGTTCTCACTCTCTCTTTTTATTCTGCGGAAAGCTAGACACGGAGCCTAGTAGGTGTGGAATGGGCACAGGAGAAAAGGGATGAGAAGGAGGCAGAAGAAATAAGCACTGCCCCTCCCACAATCTCTCTGGGGCTGCAGAGCTGGCCTTTACAGCATTTCTCTTGTATTGTGTCATCTTCAGATTATCCAAGTACTCAAGCCTTCAAATGTGACTTGTAGAAATACTAACATACTTACCACATAGTGGGACTCCAAAGAGGAGGTGGGAATTAGTGGGCGAGTTTAATAAATAAAATTGTCAAGTGTACTGGCTGGTTTTGTGTGTCAACTTGACACAAGCTGGAGTTATCACAGAGAAAGGAGCCTCCCTTGAGGAAATGCCTCCATGAGATCCAGCTGTAAGGCATTTTCTCAATTAATGATCACGGATGGGAGGACCCATTGTGAGTGGTGCCATCCCTGGGCTAGTGGTTGTGGGTTCTATAAGCAAGCAAGCTGAGGCCGGGTGGTGGTGGCGCACGCCTTTAATCCCAGCACTTGGGAGGCAGAGACAGGCTGATTTCTGAGTTCGAGAGTTCGAGGCCAGCCTGGTCTACAGAGTGAGTTCCAGGACAGCCAGGGCTACACAGAGAAACCCTGTCTCGAAAAACAAAACAAAACAAAACAGGCAAGCTGAGCAAGCTAGGGAAAGCAAGCCAGTAAGCAGCACCTTTCCATGGCCTCTACATCAGCTCCTGCTTCCTGCCCTATTTTAGTTCCAGTCCTGACTTCCTGACTTCCTTTGGTGATGAACAGCAATGTGGAAGTGTAAGCTGAATAAATCCTTTCCTCCCCAACTTGCTTCTTGGTCATGATGTTTTGTGCAGGAATAGAAACTGTGACTAAGACATCAAGCAAGTTGGAACACCAAGTGATGCAGATTGTCTTGAGTTATATTAATTTTAGATGCTCTCATGGTGGTTTTTTTTTTCTTTAATCACAATCTTTACCTTTCCTCTTTTTACCTGTAAAAAGCTTAAATTCCTTTGCCTGTTTTTTTTTCACGGCTGACCTCAATTTGTTTATGTCTACTCCTAAATGTTAGTATGCATGCAAAGACTTCTTCCTTAGAGTAAATATTTTGGCAGACTTGATATCCAACTATTTGAAGAATTTATGTTTTCATATGTGTGATAGTCTACCCATGAAGCAACTTTTTATTGGTCTTTTTGAACATGCTTTTGTTAAACACATCCTTTATGTACGTGTATGTGTGTGTGCATGTGTTATGAGTTTGGTTTGTTTGTTTAGATACACTGCTATCCTTGGCTATGGTAATATATATATATATCAGGAGGCTTGACCTTTGGGGTTTGTTCCCTGTTGGCTCTCAGCTTTCAGTCCTGAGAGTTTACCCCTGTCTCTGACATGGGTGAGTCCCTCACCTCTGGAATTTGTTTGTCTAGCCTAGCCTTGAGGGGAAGCAGGTTTAGAGCAGCTAATGTAGATGGCCAACTGGTGTACCTGGTCAGGGGTTCCTAAGGAGGACTCTTTCTGGACACCACAGGAAGCCACGGGTGGCATTGGATGGGCTGCAGGCTGTCTGGGACAGCCCGGTGGAGGGTGGGCAACTTCCACTTTTGAAGTTTGAATTCCACAGAGAGGTTTTGTTTAAGCCATGAACAGGGAGTCCTCAATGGGCTTTGAGAGACCTAAGATGTGCCAGCGGAATCCAAAGCCCTCCGTCATAGACTAAAGCCTTCGAGAATGTTCCTTTATAGTTGACTAGTCAGAGAAAGCAGAATGCAAAGCCCTCATGGGGAGGATCCTGGAAGAATGAAGTGAGGTAGAGGAGAGACAGCTCTGAGAAGAGTCTAGTGGAAATCCCAAAGGTGGCTCTGTTTGCTGAAAATGGAGACCTGTGACTTGGAATAAGTCATTCAAAATGCAGGATGCTGGCTGGGCATGTAGTTTCACAGTCTAGTACTTACTTGCCTGGCGTGTTCAGGTTCTCTGAGAGTCATCAGGAAAGTGTTCCACAGTGTCTCAGCCCTCAGGGAAGGGAATCCGGATCTTCTCTGGAGCTCTGGGTTAGAGTGTCACTAGCCTTGGAGTCTGGATACTTAAGCAACCAAATTCTGGATAAGTAAATCTGTTTGGCCAATTCAGAGTTATCCCAGTGGTCATCTTTAAAACATAGATATTTAAAAGTCTGAATATTTACAAGTCTATAATCCATTTTGTCATTTATCAGGAAATATTTAAATAATCGGCTGTCCCAAACTCTGATTAGGGTTATAGTCTAAAATTGTTACCCATCGTTTTTCCCAAAGAATAATGTTAGAAATGGAGGTCAAGATTTTGGGTTTTGTTGTTGTTTTGTTTCTTTTCCCAGACAGGGTTTCCCTGTGTAGTTCTGGCTGTGTAGACCAGGCTGGCCTAGAACTCACAGACCTATCTGCTTCTGTATCCCAGGTGCTGGGATTCAAGGCCTGGGCCACCGCTGCCAGGCCCAGGTGAACTTTCTTAACCTTTCTGTGTGATCCTGTGAGAGGCAAGCTGTGACTGAGGTGGGATTGAGCTCCTGTTATCTCTGAGGAATAGCTGGCGACTCAGCAGGGTTTGTGGAATGAGGAAATTAGGGGGCCTGGCCGAGCTCGCTGTGAGGGCTAGTGTTAAAGCACAGTGAGTGATAAGGAGGGAAGGGTGGGGTGGCTGTTTAGTAAGCAAAGGGTTTCTTTACTTCCTCCTCTCTTATAATGTCTATTCTCCCTACCGTTTCTTCTCTGTAAACAGAGCTTTTCTGAGCTCAGGCTGGAGTGAGTGGTATCTAGAGAGGAGGGAGGAGGGTGAAGAGAGGGAGTGGGAAGCCTCAGAATTGGAAGGATGAATGAAGAGAGGACTCTGACAGTGCAGGAGGGAGGAAGAGACCTTCTGGATACAGAAACGTAAGCCACGTGTGTCACCGCTCGCCGACTGCTCTTGTGTCTTAGAAGTAATTTCTTTGGAAGTAGGATGTGAGTCACTCTGGAATGTTCCAGTGTTTGGGGGCAGTTTGTTTTGTTTGTTTTATTTTTTCTTTTGAGACGGGATTTTAGACCAGGATAGCCTTAGAAGTCTTTATAATAAGCACAGGCTGGCCTCAAACTTTGCCACTAACATGCCTGTTCTATGGTTATAAAAACAGAACCCATCAGCTCCTGAAAGCCGAGTCTGATCCTGTCTACTTTAAAAAAAAAAAAGAAAGAAAAAAAGTTTGCCTTCCTGCCAAAACAATGTTGGACCATCGGGAACCCTGGGACCTTGTGGAGGACACAGTTAACAGTAGCTATCTTGCTACTATTTAAACTCTTTGAATGCAAATACTCGTTCCTGTTGCTGGGATTTTAGGATTATAATTGGGTCACCATTCAGGGCTAGAGTAAGATCTCTTCCCCAGAGTGTCTCAGACATCACAGCCCTGAAACAGTTAGCAGGCAGCACACATCTCTGTTTCACAGGGCACAGATGGTTGACTTTCCAGCTGCTACTTCTATCCAGGAAGCTTGGTTCATAGGGAACGTTCTAAGATCTAGGTCACTGATGTTACCTAACTGTAGAACGAACAACCAGCAAAGCAATAGCATTCAAATACTGAAATTTCCCCCTTTGAAACTGAAGCAGATTTCTTGATTCTGGGGGGAAAAAAAGCTTTACCTGGAAACATTCCAGATTTTTTTTTTTTCGGTGTCTTGGTTTGTTCTCATAGGCACTTAGAAAATTATGGCAATAGGATTTTTCTAAGTAATCTAGTAAACCCTCCGATTACTCCCCCCACCCCATGGATATTAAGCAAGTGTTGCATTGAGTGTTTACTGGCAAGGACCCCCTCTCTTGAGTGAGGCAACAGGAGATTACAGGACATGGTATTTTTATTGACAGTTGTACTGCTTGTCACTCTGGACTGAGATGCAGTTCAGTGACTCAGTACTTGCCTAGTGTCCTAGGTACAGTGCTCAGTACAACAGAAGCAGAGACAGCCTTATAGATGTGTTGATACTTGA